GACATATGTGGCCAACTATCATTATTGTAGCCACCAACTCCAGTTTTTCTTGCCAAGCACTACTATTACAACAACCAACTATGATCTTTTGTGACCAATTATTAATGTTACAACTTTTCACTATGACCTATATGTCCAACAACTACTATTAAAGCCACTAAATATGACGTTTGTGGACAACTACTACTATTACAACAATCAATTATGACTTTTCTAACCAACTATTAATATTATAACCAAGAACTATATTTGTTGTAGCCCGAGTATAGCTATTTTGACTAAACTATTATTGTGCATTTGTGATTATCAACTCTGTAATTCCATATTGTCTAATTCATGAGAAAAGTTCACATATCTATTACAAACACATAATAGATTAATTTGATGGGCTAAGCTCCGTGGTATTTTCTCTTTCTAGTATTTTTCTACATGTAAAATGTTGGTATCTCCTCCTGCTACATTTCTTTTATCTGTGTGCGCTAAATCTTCGTACAATATTAATACATTAAATTATCACTCTACTGTTGCAAACCTTTTAACATCTAACAAATACAAAACTAGTATTTCCTTTTTTCGATGTGTCATATTACAAGGTTTATTATTTCCCTTCTTGTTCATACATATCACCTCAGTCTTTCCAACTCTGGCAACAATTAAACTCTCTTCCCAAATTGAATATATATATATATATCCATGTTTCTGTTTGCAGATGATCAAGATTTTTAAATTTCTTAACAAACGTAATAATATATGTGTTTTGAACAACCAGGAAATAAAAGTTGAAGAAGATAAACCCGAGAGTACCAGCTGGCTGCTAAGTATTACATTTTCTTAATGAAATTTTAGTCAAATAACATCCATTATGACCAACTTAATCGATTTTGTTTTGCAATATATGACCAGCTGGATGGGGTGTGCATTATGGATCCAGGGATTAACGCTAATTGCCCTTAAGATTTAAGGTACACCATGAAGCATGATTACATAATAATAATAAAAACTGTTTTGGGTCTGTTTTTACTATGCCGATTCTCTCAAATTTTCTTATAGCTCCAATGTGTTGTTCTTTTCCAGATAAGCTGACTAAAGAGAAGGCCTTCAATGTATTTGTTAAGTGATGTTGTGCTGCTTTGCCATCTGCTGTAAACTTATGTTACTGTGTGAGGGAGAAACTGTATTAATATTCAGCCTCAGCTAAAATTTGTTTGTAGAAGTGTTGTATTATCTATCCCTTTTATGTGGCAAAATTATGTTAATATGGTATTTGTTAGCATTAAAATACAATGAAAATGTTAATTGCTTTGTCTTAATTACTTGAAATTATTATCATTAATGATCTTCATTTAACATTTTTATTGAGTGGTGTAGAATTTGTTAGCTTAACATTTACAAAAAATTGTTCAACTAAACATGATAGTTTGAATAATTCAGCTGCAGGATGAGCTCAGTGATATGCCATTTAATAGGTTAATTTTTCTCCTGCATTTTATACTTATTTTTTATGATATTTATGATATTGCACTTTAACTTTAATGGAAGGTATTTTCATATTTTTGTTGTAGGTATAACAGATTAAGCAATTGGAGCGACTGGAGCAAAACAGAAAGAAATGGAGCAAATGGAGCAAAGGAGGCTTGGACATGAATTGGCGCCTAGGCGCCATTCCATGCACCATGGTGCTAGCTTCCTGCGCATAGGCATCGAACCCCGTAGAGAATCCAGAGAAAGTCGCATAGGCGCCATGTCAAATTTCCAAACGACAGAGGGAATTCCACCTAGGCGCCAGAACTGTCTGGAACAATTTTCCAACAGTTTTTGCTTTGAAGAAAAAGTGAGAGATTTTCTTTTCTTTTGTATTTTTATTTTGAATTTTGTGTGAGGTGCAAGGAATTGTTGTGAGATTGCATGGAGAACACATTGGGGTGGAGTTTTTTTTATTTCTCAGGGAAGAAGATAAGTTTCTTGTATTTTCATTGTCTTGTATTGGAGTAATTCATAGCACTTGACTTTGTTTTAACATAAGATGTTTTGCTTTGTGGTTTTCTCCAAAAAATATGAGTAGATTCCTTGTTTCCTTCATTTTGTCATGAAATAGCAGCATGTATAGAGATTAAATTAAATTAGCATCATGTTAATTCAATGATTGTGATGAGTTTTCATGTGAACTTCATTTACATTTTAATTTGGTCAGTTGTAATGTTAAAATTTGTTGTGAACCCAAAAGACCCGAGAGGGCTATGGCTTCAGTCAACCAGTGAAAACCACACTAATCTATAGGGTGAAGGAAACATAGTCCTTACGTTAGTGCAAATGGATAGGGAGATGATTTTAATGGGGATAACTAGAGGGTTTGTAGGTTGACAGATAGAAACAATTCCTAAGTTAACCAAATTTCTTTATGCACTTGGAAAAGGATAAAGAAAATGCATGCTCCTATTTGTCACAAAATTTAGTTTGGGATTCTAGTTGATTTACACCTACACTAGCTACTAGTTTCATTACAAGGGGAGGGAAACTCTAATTAGCTTGAACTTTCTACTTCATTTAGCCTAGTGTATTTAGTTTATTAGTAAACTTAGAACAATAGAAATAGTTTAGAAGAATTCCTTAGCTCATTAAAACTCAAACTTATTTCCTAGCTAAGAATCTTTAAATTCAGTAAGTGCCTTTCTTAAGTCATTACAATTGACCGTTTTTTCCGTGGGATCGATATTCGGGACTAAAGAAAGTCCTATATTACTTGAACTATATGTGCACTTGCGTTATTACCCAGTGTGTTGTGATTAGCAGTAATAAATCTCTGATGATAAATTTATAAAATATACTTTAAAATTATAATATCTAAACCCTAAATCACTAGGTTTACCATACATAAATTAGTGGTGACTTAGTATACAAGGCAAGCTTATATCTTCAATTAGATTATATATATATATATAAGTAATTAAGCAAGAAGTGGTTATCCATCAGTTAGTAATGTATTACATTAATTTATGAATGTATGAATTTCTTACATATATGATTATATAATAAATTTTCACGTGTAAGAATTTTTAAAATTTAATGACTTGTTTCGAATTAATATATTTTTCTTCATTGTTTTTAAAAAGAATTGTTTAATGTGTTTCTGATATTTTTTTATTTTTTGTTACTAAAACAAATACATGTATTTTTGAAAACACTCGAAATAACTTTTAAATATATTGAATGTTCTCAAACACTATACTAACCTAATCAAATATGTCAAATATATTTTATTTCAAATATAAAAATAATTAAATAAAATAAAAATAAAATTTGCAAACTCTTTTATAGTTGTTCAAAATTTCAAGCGATCATTAAGTTAATAAGATCACTCTAGTTTTTTTTTTATTCTACATTTTTTTCTCAAATTTATATATATTCAAATAAAAAAATATATTATTATAATTTCTTCTTTTTAGTCTTGCATTTTTTTCAAAAAAATATGTTTTCAATTTTTTTTAACTTTTGCAACTTGATTTTTGGTTAGTTACTCTAGCCTGTGAAAAAAAAAGTTAAGTGCCACAAGGGCTTTCTATGTCCTAGGAAGGAGATGATCTTACTATTGTAAGATAAGTTTAGTCAAATTAATCCTAGACAACTAAAATCTAGGCTAAAATATAAAACAGGATGGTGGTCACACATTATAAAAATATTATGTAAGCTATCTGAATATATGTTCTTATAATTTCATTTATTTGCAACCATCTTAAATTTCTTATTTTAACATTTGCAATTTCAAAAAAATTTATAAGTGAGTGAACTTGCCTTTTATTAATTGTGGCATACTAACTAGAGTAAAAGAAAATGCAAAGAATAAACTAGCAATATGTAAAGTAAGAAAAGATAAATGAACTTGCCTACTGTGTACACTATTACTCATATATATAGGAGGACAAGGTGCTGCCATGTGCTAGGGTGAGGAGCTGCAACTCTTCAGGTAATTGTTTATTGTTATTATGAAATGTAGCTAAAATTTGCTTCGGGTGGTTGGAAGAATGCCTACCTTTTGATATACACGTGACTCTTATTATTTATTTATTTATTTATATTTTAAAGCTACAACACTAGATTATTATAAAATTTGGACCTCTTTTGGTCTTTTTCTTTAATTTTTTTATTGATTTTTAATTTTATTTATATATTAATTTAAATTAAATTAAGCGTGAATATCAAAAAAATAAGCTTGCTTTATTTTTATTTTATGAGCGACAACAAGCTGAGAGGGGCAGAAGCTAACAATTGTATCAAATTTTTTAACACTCAAAATATCTAAAATTTATATTAATTTATCTCTTAAATTATTGTTTTCTTAAATTTAAAAATATGAAAAAAAATACTAAACAAATATATTTAAAAATAATCCTAAAAATAAAACGAAATTATTCAAATTGGCCAGAAAGAAACACATTTTTAAAAATAAAAGTGATAAAAAATCAAAATAAAAAATAAAAGAGTCCTAGATATATTCTAAAATTTTAGAGGGGCATAAATTAAACAATTTCATATAATTAAATTTGTACAAGCAAGATAGATGATATAAAAAGATATTTATTCTCTTCATGATGCTGACCTTGAAGATAAGAGTGATTGATGATCACTCTAATACTAGACAACAATAGCAATATCAGTGGTGGGTGTTGGTGGTCCATGAAAATATCCTTTATTAAAAAAAATACAAATATCTAAAAAGACTCCTGAGCAACAATAGCGATATATGAAAATATCTTTCATTAAAAAAAATACAAATATCTAAAAAGACTCCTGAAATTACATCAGAAATTTTAAAAATAATTTAATTAATTTAAAAATAAAAAAAATGAAACAAGACACAAGTCAAATATTTTTATAAAAAATGGTTATAGGCCATAAATTTTTCCGTAACGACGTGGAAACCGCGCCCACCGCATACTCATCAATGGATTTATTAATATGGGAGCCTGTCGCGTAGAAGGGCTCCACAATTATGTACACCAATAATCTGTTCCACAATCCACCCAAGCCGACTCAACTGATAACGAAAACTGAGGTTTTCTTCTTTTACTCCCACATCTTCGCTTAAGAAGCCGGCCATCTCTATCCACAAGTTAAGCAGAAGAATTTCTGCACATCCCTGCTATCGACAAGGGAGAGAAGATTCTATCCTCCGAGGCACGTTCTTTCTCTATCTTTTTTTCATCCATTTTTTTTCGATTTGGGACATATCATTTCTTATCCTGATCCGATCAACGCAAAAGTCATTGATCAGTAGAAAGTAGACCAAATTGTATTGCCCTAAATGACGCCAAATATGTTTTCCGCTGTCTTCATGGACGGGCATAGAGGCCGGAACTGGAGGACCAAGTTTTTGATGCATATCTTCATAACCTTGTGTTTTGCTCTCTGTTTGTTCTTTAATTCGGAGAATCTAGCTTTGATTGATTTCAAGAGCAGAGTTTCTGGCATCGCGGAGACGGATGATGGACACCATTTTGGGAGATTTTCGAGACTTACTACTGCTGGCTTGGTGATGTGTCCTCTGTTTTTCTTCGCGGATCGGCTGATAAAGATGGTTGGAGAAGGGAAGGTGGGTGTAAATTGGTGTGAAGAGACCTTGGGGCCATCCACCGGAAGTAATGCTTCTACAACGGTTCCTGCTTGTTCGCACTTTGTGGATGTGGGTTTCGTTTGCTTTTGTTTTTATTGTTCTTCTTTTAGTTGAAGTTCTAAATCTCGATGGTCTGGTCTTTAGGTTCCGCATGTGCGGCAGCAGTTCCTTTGGGATTGCGGACTTGCTTGCGTTTTGATGGTGTTGAGGACTGTAGGAATAGGGCACTGCGACATTCATCAGCTCGTGGATCTTTGCTCTACAACAAGGTAAGATTGAGTTGTGTGGAGTTGTTTCTCATGATTCTTGGGTCAACACTACTGTCAAAACTACGCTTATGTATTATTTTAATAGTGAAGGAGTTGCTATGAGCAATGATAGTAATAGTGAGTCAAAATTACTTTGAAATGAAAGACCTTGAAAATGATGATCAAGCAATCTTGAACCCGGGATTTAAATGGCCTTTTTTCCCCCCATTTGTTAATGTTCATACTTTTTTTGGCTTTTCAAGTCGGACTTGTCAAGGAATTATTAGAAAAAAATTGCTAAAATGTGTGAATGGAGGTTGATGCTTTCCTTCATATTTTCATATTCTACATGTCAGCAAGTCCGGAATCAGGTTATGTCCATGGATTTGAGATTTCTCTATATAAACAGTAAAATTTAACAATTTTTTTCTTAGCTAGTTAAAGTAATTTAGTAAATTCTCTCTTGATATATTTTTTTTGCCCAACACTTACATAAAAATAAAAATTTGGTTAAGTTGCCCACCCTAAAATATAAAGCTGATTCCGCCCGAACTTGTCAAAAAGCATTTCTTATGCTTTTTCCCCAACTATTTGATTTTGGATTTATGATTCTTGTTTCTCAGTTTTTTTTATTGATTGTTGTATGGGATGTTGGAGGTTTGCTATTATGATACGATCAAAACCAATTTTTCTGTACAAAAAATATTGTTAGTGCAAAACAAATTTCTTTCTTCAACAACACAAACAACATAACACATAAAGGATAAACACCTATAATTTGAGAGGTAGCGATCTCTCCCAAATCCAACAATTCGAGAGGTAGGAAATCTCTCCCAAATCCTATCCCTAAAACTCAGGACACTAGTTTGAATAACCCAAACCCTAAACTATTAAGCTTTATTTATACCAAACAGTGATTAATAAATAGACTAAATTTTTCTTAGACTAATAAAAAATAAAATTGCCTTTAGGCTAGACACCGACGTAGCAATACTCACATCCCAAAGTAGTATCTTGTGGAGAAAAGATTGTTGTTGTATCGAGCTCCTCTGCCTCCTCGTTACAACCTGTAAGAACTTATAATATCTGATCCTTGCAACTGGTCCTAGTGTTAATTTTTTATCACACCAGAACATAAACTCTTTGCTTGCTTCTCCTGAATCTTTGTCTCTGTAAGGCGTTTGAATGCCATCCTTAGTCGTGGCCAATTATCCATGTCCTGGGGAGTCTCCTGTCTAGGCTTCCACTGATTGAGTTTTTGGTATCATAATGGTTGTAACATTTTGATAGGATGCTCCATTTGTGATGCTTCTATTAGCCTATTCAATTGCATTTTTATCTTTAACCAACTGCGCTAATTTCATAATTTTTCTCAATCCTCGTAGTCTCAATAGACAAAGTGATGCGCGGATGTTGGGTTTTAGACCCTTAATAAAATTTTCCAATACTGGTTTAGAAATTTTCTTATTTATCCCCACAATAGCTCGAATATCTCCTTATATTTCATGACAATCCCCTCTTAAGTCAAGATTTTTATGACAATCCCTTCTTGAGTCAAAATAAAGAATTGTTGAATGGCTCAGAAATGTTCCAATAAGCGATCCTTAAAGTATTCCCTCGAGCAGATCAGGTATCTAGCCTACTTCCACTGAAACTATGCTAGGTTTTTCCATTTCAAACATAACCCATCCCTCATGAGCTTTTCCTCCACATTTAATATATTCAATGTGAAATATCGTTCGACCTGGTACACCCACCCATGTGCGTCTTCTCACTCGAAGAACGACATTTTCAACTTCTTAACCTTAGCATATCCCCCTCTCTCAACTTCCTCTTTCTCTTTTTCTTGTTTCTCCTCATGTATCTATGGTAAAATTCTCTCCTTCAACCATCGTATTAGTCCATCCTGACTTCTCCCCTTTCTTTTTCATGCTTCTCCATACTCCTTGCATAACATCTCTTTTAAGTTTTGATCTAACCCACCTCCATTGAAAATCTCTCATCCACCCCCATTGGAGCCTTAAAAGGGATTTCCTTATAGTGGATGATTTCCTCCTCATATTTCTCACGTTCGATCTCTTTCTTTTTAGATTCATCCAAGGACACTTCGGTCAACCCTTTGTTAGAGTTTGCAAATTGAACCACTAGCGTGGTCTTAGATTGCATCTCCTCTAGGCTCTCGAATCAGTTGTCAATGACGAAAAAACTTTTCTACATTCCGAATTTAATTTGGCTCACCTCTTCCTCCAATTTCTTCTCCAATTATCTATTTTTTAGCCACCATTCCTCCTAGAACGGGTTTTGATCACGAAGGAGGAACTACTATATGTTGAAATCTCTTTGTTGGCTTCCCAGATAGATCAAATTGGGTCTGTACCAATTTGATTGTGTCTATACTATGTGAAACCCTATGTGTTGCGATTATGATGTTTGTACATCGCCATCTTATCATTTGTGTCTCGACTAGCTCTTTTTGCAACTGTATTGGATAGATCAACTCATGAAGCGTATGTCGTGATCCGTCTTTGCTTCCTAGCTAGCTCCTGTGATCCCTTCGGCTTCCCTGCTAGCTCAAAACGAGACTGTCTCATATGGTTCAATCCTGAACGTTGGAATCCCGATGTGTCTGTCTCGCATGGTTTTGTATGCTTCGATCTGTTTGTTACTTCTCATGACTGCTTTCCGCAACTGTTTCAACACTAGACGTTGTGATCAAATTATTTAAATTAGACTGTATCGCTGCTTTCAAAACTCTGTAAGCGTCGATCCTGTCAAATTATTTGAATCGAATGCTCTGGTATCACTTGATACAATCCAAGCCAATTTTTCTCCATAGAAATTAGGTTAAAACAAATTTATTTTTTCAATAACAGAGGTAACACAACACATAAAGGATAAACACCTACAATTGAAGAGGTAGGAGATCTTTCTCAAATCTTTATATTCTAGAGGTAGGAAATCTCTCCTTAACCCAAACCCTAACCCTATAACTTGAGGCATAATCTCCTACATGACTCCAATCATAAACTATTAAGCTCTATTTATACCAGACTTTAATTAATAATAAAAGACTAAATTGCTCTTATACTTATAAAACACAAAATTGCCCTCAGACTAGACACATATGTAATGATAGGAAATATACCAAACAATTTCCAAACTTTATTGGGCTTAAGATTAATTAGAAACTAAACCACATCGCGAAATAACAAGATCACACCAATTCAAGAAAATCAGAACAAACTCTAAGTAGAAAACACAATTAAAACAACCTGAAAAGCACATGAGAATTTGTGGAAAAATCCGAGAACAGGAAAAAGCCACGAAACCACACCACTAGAACTTTCACTATGAAATTCAGAAAATGTTTACAAAGAACTCAAACGAGTTTCTTCTTTGCACACAAGGAAATTTACAACATGCTCCACAAACTTCCTTCTTCGATATGAGGCGAAAAACACACGCCAAGATCTCATAAATCCTCCTCTCCAACTCTTCTCTCTTTCACCAGGAACTTATTGAAGAACACAAAAGGAAGACCTTACACTCAACAAGCATTACGTCGCTTGAAATTTTTGTCTTAAAACCAAAAAATTGTTGTAACTGCACCGGGCGCAAAAGTGCCTGTCTCTTGGGTAAAAAAAGATCGCGCCAACATAGTTGGGTGCTTGGGCGCCCAAGGCGGCCCCAAGGCGCCCCCTTCTCCGTTTGCTCCCAAGCATGGGCGCAAAAGCGCCCTCCTCTCGGGTTGGAATAACCTAGGTGTTTTAGCTCCACAAACACAACAATCTTCCACTTGGAGATAATAACGCTCAACACCAGTCATTTTTACCCGCACATTCATCTGAATCGCCTTCATAGTCACTAACTATAGTCATGTACAGTGGTGTGGCTCACCATCAATCTCAACCTTTATGAAACTTAACTGAAGCCAAACATAGATTCAATTTCTCGATAGTCACATTATTTTCCAACATATCTGTAGGATTCTCAGTTGTGTGTATTTTTTACAGAAATAACTGTCCATCTTCTAGAAGAGATCGAATGAAATAATACCTGAGCTGGATGTGTTTCGTGTTGGCATGAAAAACAACGTTTTTAGCAAGATGAATTGCACTCATACTGTCACTATAGAGTTTTCTCTGCTCCTTGATCAATCCTGTCATGAGACTTTGTAGTCAAATCATCTCTTTGCTAGCCTCAGTGATTTTTTTTGGAATTATTGGTTATTTTCCGCTACTAAAATCTATTGTTTTTCTGTTATTGGATATAGACCAGTGTTTTGTCATGCTAACATGGCTGTTTTTAATGGCACATACTCCAATGATTTGTTTGCCCTTTCATGTGAGATTTTCTTTTTGATAGCATCTAGGCTTATGACAATCTGATTTTCTTTGCAAGGCTATTAGAGTTTCTATGCAGGCGAGGTGATTTCCTTGGTCCCTGACAATCATTTTATTTACATATTGGCGATCAATCCTCTGAAATTTTTTTTTCTTTGTTAGCCTTGATCAATCAATCTTAAAATTGTTTTTTTTTTTTTTGGCTGATTGGTGCTCTCTTTTTTATGTCAGTGTTTGGACGGTTGATCTGGCATATCTTTTGAAAAGGTTTTCAGTTAGTTTTCACTTCTTCACGGTCACTATGGGAGCAAATCCAAATTTTTCAGATGAAACATTTTATAGGGTGAGTTCTCAATTAACTCGTATTTATTAGACTTGCTGCAATATTTTGTCTAGAATTCATTGTTATTTGCTCAATCTGGTAATTGGCTGATATGTTGCTTCTTTTGTTTCCTTCTGGTTTTCTTCATTATTATGAGAACTCATTTTTGGTATTCATAATTTAGATATAAATTATCCAAAAATATTCTAGTTCAATCACTATTACTAGTAGTTTGTTATTTGCTTTTGTCATGTGTCATTCCATTCGTCTTCCATTTACTCACTCAGATATAAACAACTGCAGATTTTCTTGCCAACGATAAAGAAGAAAATTGTTAAATTGGTCTCTAGACAATTCTCTAGACAATGTGTGGGGGTCACTTTTGTATCATATTATTGAGATATATCCATTTTGGTCCCTTACCAATTCAAATTTGATCCAAAGTAGTTCTACAATTAGCATTGCAATTAGATGAAATAAAAGCTTGTACAGGTGGAAATTGAGTATATTTCATCATTTTATCGGTAAGGGAATTAGATCTGTCATAGTAGACAAAAGCCTATATAAATACAGAAATATTCTTTCAATATTTTGGGACCCAAGGAGCTCGTCAGCCACAATATTACCATGGAAGACAAATTGTTCAGTTATGGATTAAAACTCTTTAGAATACTGAAGCTACTTGAGTAAATTGCTGATAGTAAACAGTTAAAGTACAAAATGCATCACACTTACTAATTTGGTAGCAGTATTTATAGTTTTATTGTGATACTTGCTGAAAACATTGAACATAGTTTCTGAATCACATTAACTAAATGCAATCCTAATGTTGATCCACAGCCAAGTCCCTTGTGCTAACAAATTCTCTGCCTATTTCTGAGATATGTCTCGTACTTATTCAATTGGGTTATTAATCAAATATGACGTGATATGACGCACTACCTATTGGCTTTTTCTTGGTGTTTGTTAAGTTGTTTGGTTGTATGATATGGATGCTCGTCACAGGGAATTTATTTTGGCTTGATTTGGGAGCTCGGTTTGCTTGTTTTAACTCCTACCCGAGAGGTAGCTTGGGAGCTTGATTTGGTTCGTTCTTAGTCCTACCTGTGAGCTTGTTGGTAGGTCATTTGGTTTGGCTTTGGCCCCTGCTGGGCTCGGTTTTGGCTTGTGCTGGACTCGGTTTCAGTCATTTGCTGGCTGTGATTTTTGGCCTTAGTTGAGGGGCTCAGTTTGGCTCGTTTTAAGCTCTTTCTCGAGGGTCTGGCTTGTTGGGTGGCTGTCCTGTACTTCTCTTATTCCTACCCGTGGCCTGGGACGGTATGACTCTTCTTGTTGAGTCTGAGTGGTTTGAATTTTATTGATGAATCAAGTTTGTTATCCCAAAAATTATAATCATTTTATTTATGCTCTTATGTATATTGAGGGAGCGCGTTAAAATAACTAATGGTATTTCCTTTGGTTGCCTGAGCTTTGAGCCTTAGTTTGGTTGGTTCCTTTTGTCGCTTTGGCCGAGAGCCTTAATGGCTGTTAGTGGTGGTCCTTCCTGTTGGTTGCCTCGGCCGTGAGCTTTGGCAGCTTCCCCCTTTCCTTTTTGGTGGCCTTGGTCGTGGGCCTTAGCAGCTGTTCCTTGCTGCCCTGAACCGTGAGCCTTAGTAGTTGCCTTCCTTGTGGGTTGCCTTGGCCGAGAGCCTTAGTTGTTGTTCATCTCTTTGAAGTCTGGAATTGAATAACTTGAATGTTGACATGATTTTTGGAAGTATAATTGGCCGCCGTCCCAGTGTTATATTCTTTTCATTTAAATTGTGAAGTTTGGGAGATTTTTGAATTTTATTTCGGGAGAATACTTGGTTGAGGCAAATTAATTTCATAAAAGATATCATTGGGGTTTGGATACCGGCGTTAGGAGGGCATTTTTACTTGAGTTGATCCACTATGTTTGGCTGAGACGAATTGATTTCATAAAAGATATCTTTGGGGTTTGGATATGGCGTTAGGAAGGTCATTTTGACTTGAGTTGATCCACTTATGAAAACGTGACAAAGTGATACCCTTTCGGATTGATTCAAGGATCTTTGGGCTTTCCTTTTCAGTCCTTGCTTCTTAGTTCGGTTTTTTATGCTTATGTCCGATACATAAGTGTCCACGTATAGCCTCTTGCTATACGTGAAACCATCAAGCAAGGCCGTAAGTAGGTCGGTTTTGTTTTGGGGCTTAGGGCGGTGATGACAAAGACACACCGGAGATAGAGCAGAATGATATGTCATCCTACGACATCGGGATCTGATTCAGGAACCCATCAGGATCCGATTTAGGAACCCGGTGAGCTGTAGGATGACAGTATGATTCACCGACACAAGAGTAGCGGGAGTTGACCCGAACCTTCTTAGGTTGTTGGTAGCCTTATGTCCGACAGCGCGATCGACTCGTGGACAACTAATTCTCAAAATTGATAAAAACAAATTCGATAAATACAGATACACCTTTTTCTAAAACAAAAATACATTTTTTGCTAAAAAAAAATTGTACAGTCCACTTTTTGCATATTTAAAACCTATGTGCATGCTGAAAATATAAATTTTAAATACATTTTGAACATTGGTTGTCCACCTGTTGATCACCTGTTTAGGCTAAGGAGTACCCTCCTGAGTTAGGTTTGATAAGACACTCTTCTAGTTGAGTGGCGGACTTTATACATCCGGGTGACCGAGTAGCCTTCGACGACCCTCGAGTACTAATATATAGTTGAGCCTAGCCCCGACCCAAGTGCTTGCGGTCCCCCTCTTTTCGGACTTTTTCATATGTTTTTCTTGAAATTTTTGGACAAAGCACTCGTGGTCTCTTTTCGGGATTTTCCCGTGTTTTTTACGATTTTAATCAATTTGTCAATTTCCTCGCATTTCTATTATCGTGAGTCTTTTGACGATCTTTCTCGAGATTTCTATTATCGCGAGTCTTTTGACGATCTTTCTCGAGATTTCTGGATGATGTTTCTTTAAAACATTTTAGTCTGTTTCCTCAAGTTTTGTTGTTTGTACCTGTTGCATCAATTACACCTAAAGAACAACGGATCTCCCATGTATACATGTTTGTTTTATGTTTACAACATGTTATTCTCTTCTAATCACTTCCCTGCTGTACCTTTTACTTTTTTTACACCGCATGTTGTACTGTTTTTTTTACTGCATACTCTATTGTTTGTTCTGTGCTACATACTCTACTGTTATGCTAGACATTGTACAACTTCAATATGTTTCTTATAAAATATCTGAAGAATTACAACCATAGGGCCGCTGGATTTGACATTATAACCTGATACCCTAGAAAACTTAAACTTGTCATGACAAAGAGCTTGAAACTAGCGCGGTGGGCAGCACGACCATCTTCAACAGCAGAACATGTCTTCCTCAGCTA